CCGCACCACACCATACACCAAACGCACAAGAGACACGGTTTCAGTTACAGCTCAGTGCACACAAAAAAACACGACAATACTGCAGAAAAAACTTCCTGTGCCCAGTAGAGCTCCGCATCTTTTTTCTCTTGGCATCACATGGTATTTTCTACATGCATACTACATACGCCTTCTTTTACTGTCACAACAAATAGGACACGCACACGAGCATGCACACACACACACACGCAGAGGCATGCACACACACACACACACACACACGCAGAGGCATGCACACACACACACACACACACACACTCACCTGCAATATTTCTCAGCTCCACGTTCCACTTGGCAATGGCCGGTTTCCCGATGGGATCTCTGGCCGTGTCCCAATTCCATCCCGAGTATGGAATGAGGGAGAAGTCAACCAGGTCTTGGACGCAGGCATGAACTATGCTCATCTTCACATCCTAATGAATGGATGAATGAAAGAGGAGTGAATGATCCCATGAAGTAATGGACTACAGCGATAGTGTCACTACAATAGGTGCCGCATGGAAACAAACTGAATGGAAATGTTCAAGTGCAGTCAGCACACATAAACATAATACATATATGTCAACAACAAGGTAGATATATAGCAAGGCAAAGGCAAAGCAAACATGTCAACTCTATACTCAGAACGGCTCTTCCTTTCCAAAGAAAAGTTGCCCAGGATGGACTCCAACCCACGACACTCTGCAGTCTAGGCGAGCACTCTACTAAGGGGCAACTCAGCTGGTATGTAGGTTCAAATCTTCAAGACAATACGTGAATGCTACTCGAGACCAAGTTTTCTTTCAAGAATTCCATGCAAGAATGAAAACACAAGTGCTTGTCAATTGGAGTTCACTCTAAATACGTTAGGCATGAAGGAGGGAGGGTAGGGGGAGTGAGGGAGGGAGTGAGGGAGGGAGGGTAGGGAGGTAGGGGAGTCGAGGGATGGGGAGAGAGGGGAAGTTGTGGAGTGGGACTTACATCACACGAAGAAATGTTCCACAGAACACTGGTTATCATCTCTCGAACCTGCAGAGAGATAGCCATTGGCAGTTGTGTGGTGAAAGACTACAATCATAACAGTAAACTTTCGGGTATATACCCACAAAACCTGCACTGCAGACCTATATATAATCAACTGCCAACCATATGATCGCTTTGCTGCAAAAACAGGTGAAACGGAAACATACTAAACTGCTGTTTAGTACGTAACCATCCATCCAGGGCAGCTCACTTTCTTTCTTGGAATATAGAGATATACTAGTTTCCACGCATAACGGACAAGGAGCCCTCACGAATCCCCATCTGCCAAATATTCCGAGGCACACAATTTTTTGGGGGATTCGTGAGGGCTCCTTGTCCGTTATGCGTGGAAACTAGTATATCTCTATATTCCAAGAAAGAAAGTGAGCTGCCCTGGATGGACGGTTTCAAACCCACGACACTCTGCAGTCTAGGCGAGCGTTCTACCAGCTAGCTGCGCTACCAGGGTAACTCAGCAGGTAGGGGTTCAAAGTCTGCATTAGAACACAACAAGGCAAACCCCAAACTCTGTGGGAATCTGTCTGGCAGTGAGCCTACTGCAGCCTGTAGCTACTGCTTACCTCCATGACTCGTGAAGTTTTGAGGGCCCTCATGAGCTCCTCTAGCCCCCGCTCTCTCACTATCATCAGCTTGTTCTCGTCGTTGATCCGGCCAAACGACAGGTTGCGCAATGCTCCCAGGATCGGCACGACGACCTTTGCGTCCTCGTTGCGTAGCTGACCAATCAGGGCAGGGAGTGCCCCATATTGTCTGTGGATAGAGGTACACCGTTGTAGTACCATTCAGCAGGAGAACAAGAAAATCAAACTAACGAAAAGCACTAAAGTGCAAACCCTTGGCGAACTGTGCATGCGCTGTAAGCTTACAGCTAATTGATGGGTTATGAGTATGCGTTTACTCGTGGTCTCCCATCAGTAATGTTCTATATACTTTAGTACTTGCCCTGCTCGCCAAACCGACCACACCCATACACGTAATGTTTCTCACCTGATTTTAGCCTTCATGGAGTCATCGCCATAGGCAAGATGCTGCAGGTAGCTGGCTGCGTTAGCTACCAGACCTACAGTATATTGACATAATGAATACAGGATTACATAACTTATTGACATAATGAATACAGGGTTACATAACTTATTGACATAATGAATACAGGGTTACATAACTTATTGACATAATGAATACAGGGTTACATAACTTATTGACATAATGAATACAGGGTTACATAACTTATTGACATAATGAATACAGGATTACATAACTTCCACAGGCGCGCACATTATCTCTGTTGTCTACTGACGACGTCTTGGAGGCTCGTTTTACTTTCCAATACTACAAGTTAACCTAACAAACTCAAAGTAGTATGTATGAAACTAAAGCAGAACCCTTCAATAAGGACTCACTGAATAGAGAACACAATAGATAAAAACCTCTCAATAAATGACAAACTTCAAGGTCCCAACTATTATTCTTTAACCTCAAAGAGTTGACAACCTCCATAAAAGACAAATTGCCAACGTGTCCATTTTCCAGAGGTTCCACTGTATTACGGAGGAAAAGAGAGTGGTGTACATATACTGACCTGTGTCCCCTGAGCTGAGAAAGTCGACCACGTCGTTGAGGTTTGGTTCCCGAGACTGAGGTCCGGTGTTGGGACGGGCAGGGGAAGAGGTGTGGTCAGATGATGAGTGGTGGTGAGGGGTATCTGTGAGGAGGAGGGAGAGAAAGGGAGGAGGAGGAGGGGGAGGGATTAGAGAAAGAGAGGGAGGGAAGGAGGGAGAGAGGGAGGGAGAGAAAGGAGGGAGGAGGAGGGGGAAGGATTAGAGAAAGAGAGGGAGGGAAGGAGGGAGAGAGAGAAAGGAGAGGGAGAGGGAGAGGGACGATGGAGGAAGGGAAAAAGTAAGAGATACACATCACAAATTGACCTAAACAAGACATAAATCAAATGGTACCAATCAAATCACTAAATTAAGCAAAGAGATCACGGAAACGTATATACATTTTTGTGTGTGTGGCTTCGCGGGCAAGAAAAGGAAGTCAACCAAGTGCAAGGGCAAGGAAAGGAAAACGTCCATACTCAGGCTGTGTGCCGACTGCCCCTCTGACTGCCCCGGTCTCTCCTGTTGTTGTCTGGACTGAGGCCTGCTGGGTGGCGGCGGCCCGGCCTCCAACAAGCTATCCTGGGACACGGCCAGGAGGTAGGACTGCCGCACCGCCTGGTAGTCCAGGTAGCTTCTGAACACCTTGCTCCCTCCGCCGCGGCGGTAGTCCTCGTAACTCAGGGGGTGGAGCTCTGAGAGAGACTGCCGGTGGTGGTGGTGGTGGTTCCGGGGAGGAAACTCGTCAAGGAGGGCGCCCCCCGAATTACGGCGGTGTGGACGAGGGAGGACTGGGTTGGAGCTGGCGAGGAGGGAGTCGCGACGGAGTACCAGGCCGGGTACTCCGGGGGAAGCAGGGTAGGGGTGGTCCTGGGGTAAAACGGGGTGTGACCCCGCCATGGAGCTCTGTCGGGTTGACGGGATCGAGCGGGCAGCCGAGTTCTGTCGCGTGACGAGGGCCAGGAAGGAGGAAGACTGAGTGGAGTAGCGCGACCTGCGACCCTGGTAGGGGAGACACTCGATGTGATTCAGGTGGTAGATTTGGTTTGGCTTCAGACTGAGGCTGTTTCTCCGCGACCTCCGCTGACCCTGTGGTCGATGGTGACGGCTCCTTCGGTCAGAATAACACTGTCCCATGACCCTCTGCTACCAACACTTTCGGCCTCTCTCTCTTTATCTTTCTTATTTTGCCCTCTCCTGGTGCCTTCTCTTAGGGTGTCTTCTTCCTCTTTGTGTCTCTTTCTTCTCTTAGTGTCTTTTCCTAGTCTCTCTTTCTTCTCTTGGTGTCTCCGGGGTTTACACAAAAGTTGATGTCTAAGCTCTTTCTGTAAGTGTTCTGTGGTCTAACACTACAGACTGAATTGCAGGCCAATATCTGGGCCCAAAGCACGTTTGTGGTACTGGAAAATGATACTACTCTGTTGTATATAATTGTCGGTGATACTGGGATAGTGGAGCAGCTCTGAGCTCTGATGGTCTCTAGCTCTGAGTTTATGAGCTCTGATTGTGACACTGGTCTCTAGCTCTGAGTTTATGAGCTCTGATTGTGACACTGGTCTCTAGCTCTGAGTTTATGAGCTCTGATTGTGACACTGGTCTCTAGCTCTGAGTTTATGAGCTCTGATTGTGACACTGCACTCTAGCTCTGAGCTTCTGAGCTCTGATTGTGACACTGCTCTCTAGCTCTGGGTTTATGAGCTCTGATTGTGACACTGCTCTCTAGCTCTGAGTTTTGAACTCTGTCGGAGTAAGCTCTTTACTTTACGTACTATGTCGTAGCTTGGCAGAAGTGTGGTGTTGTTCCAGTCTTTCTGTTGACCGATATGCGTAGGTGGTTTAAGTCTCTCTTTCTGTCTTCTGTGATACAGTAATAGAGGAAATCCCTTTCTCTCTCTTTGTCTCTGTTAGTTGCCTTGTTCTTTGAACTTGGTTACGTAGGTTCCCTGTGAGGGCCACTAGCAGATTCGGACAAGCAGTTGATAGATGAGTTGGAGTTTCAAAAGACCCGACTGCTACACTGTCATCAACAGAGCACACCAGACTTTGTTCAAATGTAGACTACAATTATATACTTGGTCTAGTGAGCCCTCTATCCATCAATTTAGTAAAGAAACTGGTGTTCCGCTGTTCAAAGCAGACTCGAAACACTCCAATAAAACTACAGACAAAACGGTAACTGAAACAGTTCAACTTGTCCTAAACTGGACTGGAGAACATTCTGAGCCAAAGGCCAATAGGCAAGTCCCTATACGGTCCAGGCATGAATAGAGCATCTGTTACCTCTCACTTAGCCTCCATTTCTGTTGCTTTGCCGACTACACGAGCTGGTGCAAAAGAGGGTCTAGTTGACAGCAGTCGGCCCTACAGTGGAGACCTTTGTTCTCAATGGCGGCCACGACAAGCGGAAACACGACCGACTACAATTGAAACACTTCTTTCTCCCCCTCTCTCTCTCTGTGTGTGTATGTGTCACATGTGATGGCCACTGTGACAATAACCAGTCAATGAGGTGTGAAGCCGGTGGTTGTAACACATACACCCATGACACCCATTGAAGTCTACCAGAGTGTCCTGTACGCATGGAAGTGTCTTGGACACTGTGCTAGGAGCTGCTGCAACGGTAAAATTTGGCAACAATTTAGTCCCATCATACACAGTGACCCCCCACCCCACACAGTATTCAGAAACGTCATCAACAATTTTTCTCTGCAAAACCACTGTTTTTCGGTGGGTGTCATAGACAGTCAATGTATACACAACATACAATTCAAGTAATCTGCAAAATTCTTAACACTTTGCACGCCGGAGAAAATACGGACATTTATGCGCATACATGGAATTTTTCACGAGCGCATGCACATTAATTCATTCGTGCGTTTCACACGTGCGAGTGGCAGCAAGCCCAGCAAACCAGGGAGAAGAAAGGACAGGCAGCTCTTCTGATTGTCCAGTGAAGTACATACTTGCACACAGGTATAAAAAACAAAGACTATTCATGAGGGAAGCCCGCTGCTCCGCTTTAACGCATTTGCACCACTGAAGTGGCACGTGGCGCTGCGCAATGAATACGCGCGCGCCGTTAAAGTGGCACGTGCACGCATAGTGTTAAGGACACCTACATACGTCGTATAAAAGCAACACTTGGGTCCCTTGTCCATACACAGCTGTAATTCAATGCGGGGATTCTAATTCTCGTAGAGTCCGGAAAAGCGTACCCTAAACCTTGTGCATGCGTGTAGTGGTAGACATGGGCGTAGTCCCAAGCGATTATCAAAGGTGCCATCGTCGTCGATGTCCTCCCTGGGCCTCTCGCTCAACTTCCGAGTGAGAAACTAGCGCTCGTTTGTCATTTAAGCTGCACCGTATTTGAATTGCGGACAAGTGTTGCCATAGCCCTAAACAATTTCGACGCCTCTTCCATGGAAACTTTGCACATTAGAGAGCCATGAGCCTAGAGTAATGGACAGCTCCGAGTAAAGGACACTTTCAATGTCCACAAGGCATCCCTTATTCAAGGTTTTACTGCCATATTACGTGTGATGCACTACAAGTACATGTACATAATGCCATCAATGAGGTGTAGAAAGGCAAAGACAAACATGTCAACTGCACCCAGGACAGCTCTTTTTTCACGGGTGGGATTCGAACCCACGACACTCTGCAGTCTAGGCGAGCACTCTACCAACTGAGCTACCAGGGCGATTGAACCCACGACACTCTGCAGTCTAGGCGAGCACTATACCAACCAAGCTACCAGGGCAACTCAGCTGGTAGGGGTTCGAATCTACAACACAATGTACGTATATATTCAACACAAGACCAACGTGGCCTCAAACCACTGTGCTATGGCACAGTATACTCTCACTCAGTATACATATGTGCTGTACAGATGAACTCTCACTATGTGCACTGAAGGCATGACGTGAGGAGTGTCCATCCGATTGGTCGTAATTAGCCCTTCTGACGGGAGGGGTTCGGGAAGAGAGGGGGACGGCAGAACGGGAATGAGACCCCGAGTACTGCGAGGAGGCAGCGTGCAACGGACTAGTCATTACGGGATGGGAATGTGACCCCGGTGCGACGTGACTCGGACTGTGTGACTTGCTGGAATGGAACTGGGACGAGACGGCCGAATTTTTCACGGTGGAGCTGTTGCCGTGGCTACCGAGACGAGGTCTGTGGTATGAGGCGTTATTGACGTCGCTCCCGGCCGAGTCGTCATAGTGATGATGAGAGGGGACGGGGGGAGAGTTGGAGGGGTAGTGGTGAATGGCTTCCTGACTGCGGCTGCCCATGGCTCCTTCCATTGGAGGAGGACTGAGAGGGGGATCGAGAGAGAGGAAAGGCATAAACTACCAATTGTTACACAGACAGCAAAACTAAAGGGGTGATAAGAAAGATAAAAGGCTACATGTACTGAAAGGTGCATATTCAGGGCACAAGTTTCTTGGAAACATTATCGATTTTGGTTAAAGGGTCTTTACAAAGAGACTTCCCATACAAAGAGTACAGTCTTTGTTAATCGAGACTTACTTAGAGCTCACAGAATATTGTAAAATCTGCAGTGCAAAGTGCATAATCGAGCACTGTTTACGTGCATTCTGATGTACACTAAACCCCTCACAGAACTCTTACCGATACGGAGGAGCCTCTCTCCGTGGCTGGGGTGGAGTGTGGTGGAGTGCGTCCATACTCCGGGCCCCCGAGGCCCAATTTCTGGCCCCCGGCTGGTGGGAGAACCCCCCGCGGTGGGGGGCGGGGCCCTGACTGGTCACAGTGCTGCTCAGTACGCTGCTGGGACTCATCGGGGGTCCAAAGGTCACGTCCACCACTCGAGCCCCGCTGTGGGACATCTCGGGGACCGTCCCGAGAATGTCTTTTCTGGCCCCCGCGGAGGGCCCCCCTCCTCCAGGGGGGTAGTACTGTCTGGAAGGTGAGGTGCCTATGGCCGCAGCATGTCTGAGGAGAGAGGAGAGAGAAGAGAGAGGGAGAGATAAAGAGAGAGAGGGGGGGGGAGTTAGAAGATGAAACGTTATTCATGACATTAGACAGTTATGACCTGAAATGGCATATATTTTTGGCTGAGATTTTTTTCAAAAGCCATTTTTGGCTGACACATGAATGACACATATTTTTGGCTACCGACCACGAGCAGTTCGGTGTATTATAGAACGACGTTGAATTTTTTGCAAGTGTGTATTAAAAGTCACTACAGTATGTGCAGTGCCCGTTATAAAAATAAAGAAAAATCCCGCATTCAGTTCGCTTTGTTCGCCAATCATACATTAGCATGGATAGCTTAGACGCCCATTTTGAGGCTCATAGTACATACATAATTGGCGAGCGGAAGCGAGCTAACCTAGTGGTCCTATAACGGCGCAATTTATATATATATATACAATGTCACCGTACGTCGTCCAACTGCGCATACTCCAGCATTACGCGTTTCTTTTTATCCGAAAGGGATTTCAAAATTTTCATATGCTGCCTGAATCGAGCGGAATCGGGGAAACGCAACACGACAGGCTCGAACACCTCCGAAGCTATCGAGAATTGCTGCACAGTCCAGCGACGAGAGAGAGATTTTTTCTACATTGCCACTTGTTCCCTATTCCTGCAAGACCAATCAGATTGCCGGATTATGCCTGATTCACGCTGTCGTCTGACTGTTTTTGACTCTCGAATTGTCTACTGCGCTCGGGTCTAAAAGGTTGTTTCGGTAACTTGGTCCTGTGCAATGTATCTCACTGTTTTGTGCACACACAAGAGTGACTCATACGATTAGACCCCAATTGTAAGCTCGCTTCCGCTCGCCAAAAATGGCATGCATTCGCCTACTAGTTTATGTTTCCACAAACAGCACTAATGTAGCCTGCTGTATGCAGTACATACCCAGAGTGCTGGTGAGGGCCTCTGTAGCCATTTGAGGTGAGAGAAGAGGAGTGGGTGTGGGAGGAGACTGATGGTACACCTCCCCCACTGAACTGAGATGGCTCTGAGGGAGGGAGGGAGGGAAGGGTGAGGAAAGGAGGGAGGGAGGGAGGGAGGGAGGAAGGGGAGGAGGGAAGGGAGGGAAGAAAGGAGGGAGGGAGGGAGGGAGGGAGGAAGGGTGGAGGGGAGGGAGGGAAGAAAGGAGGGAGGGAGGGAGGGAGGGAGGGAGGAAAGGAGAGGAAGGGGTGAGTGAGGAAAAGGGGGAGGGAGGAGGAGGGAGAGGAAGGGAAGGAGTGAGTGAGAGGAAAGGGAGGGGAGAAGAAGGGAGGTGGGGAGTGAGGGAAGAAAGGAGGGAGGGAGAAAGAACATTAGTAAGTAAAAGAAAGGGAGGACAGAGTGGAAAAACGAACAGTGAGAAATAGATTTGGAAAAAACCACAGATGGAAGTGTATGAAAAGAATGCTGGGAGACAGGCTGACCTCTCTCCTCTTCCTCCTCGTCCTGTTCTTGTATCTGGTGATTGAGAGAGTCCGAGAACTCGAAATGGTCCTTCCTGTGTCCATGGGAACGCAGCCGCTTCCTGGAAGTGGGTATAACAATGGAGCAGTGACTCACTGTGATACACACACTGCCAATGTCAGTGGGCCTGCAAAATAAACGTATGTACACAAGCGTTTCAGAGTTCATGCAAGATCATGGGCGGCTCGTGCATTACGCAACCTCGTGCGCTATTGTGTAGTTCCTCAGTTGCAGATACTCGCTATAACCTATAGTACTAAGTACATACGTTCGTCAACAACCACGTGTTAAGGCAAGGCAAAGCAACAAGTCAACTAAACTGAGGACTGCTCTTTTCTCTGAGGAAAACCTAGGTGGGATTTGAACCCATGACCTTGCAGTCTAGGCGAGCGCTCTACCAAGCAGCGAAACTCAGTGGTGTGGGTGTACAGCTCCAGCTAAAGCGTCCTCTCAGGGGTTTAGCCTCTCCCATAATAAAGATGCCCTCCCTCCCTCCCCACACTAAAGCCAGATGCACAATACGAAAAATAGACTTTCGTTTCGTTTGGTTTTATCACCCAGCGTCACTGTACCGTTATATCGTCACAATTTGTGAAACAGTGTGACGATGTGACATACAGTACATCAGTGACGAACAAAAGCCAATCACAGTAAAAAAAAGTCCCTCATGCATAATTAACCCTCGGCGCGCATGCGCAGCGAGGGTTACGGTACTTGGGTCTGTCTGTGTGTCTGTGTGTCTGTCTGTTACTCGTCATCTCACTTCTCGAGTGTTTGTTCGTCTCACAAAGGATACCACCTACTGAACAGGCAATGAAGGTCAGAAATTTCGAACGGTTTTCCCTGAAAACGCACCGTTGCGAAGCTAGAGCGCGAAAAAGGCAATATGCAAATACACAACGGACGGGATGGCGCGGATCGATCCACGTGCTCTGCGTATATACTTCAGAGACACCAGAAGATGCAACGCAGGGCGTGTATCGCCTCTCGCATGCTATCTAGTAGTGTAGTTAGCCCACGTCAGACTCTGCGCGAGCTGGCAAGAGACCACGAGTAACAGCTAAACCCAGCCCATCAATTAATGGTACGGCGCATGCGTTTACTTACGCGTGTGCGTCACAGTTTGCCGAGGGTTTGCACTTCAGTGCTTTTCATTCCTGACAGTAGTGAGGTGACCACTGAAAGGAAACACCACGTGTACACACACACACATAGGAGACCCAGCCAGCCAGCCAGCCAGACTGACTGACTGACTGACAGGGGAGTGGAGCTCACATGACAGAGTCGACAATGGCAGAGCCAGACAGCTTGGAGTCCGTGTCGCTGTCCTGGTCCTCGTCGTCCTCCATCCAGTTCAGTCCGTTCTGCCACATGGCCAGGTTCCCTGCTCGACTCATGACGCCCCTCTCTCTCTCTCTCTCTCTCTCTCTGTGTGCTCTTCTTTTTGTCTCACTGTCTCTTTCCTTTCTTCTCCTTCTCTGTCGTTCTCTCTAAGACCTTCTGGTGTGGCTCTTTTCTTATCTCGGATCTTCTCACAGTCTCTTTCTCTTCTTCTCCTCGTCCTCTGTTTACACTGGATAATATACTTGCTGTTTGTATTCGAAGGCTATTACGTGTGTACTCCACAGGGACAGCAAGGTGACTGGAAGATTCTGGGTGACAAAGACACCACTTATCAGATTACTCCGCCGCAACACCGTAACGTGATCAATAGAGGAGTGAAAACACTGCAATACCACTACAGCTCTCCGCCCACCACACTATGGACACACCACTACTGTATCACTACACTATAGCATACATTGTATGTAGACAAGTAACTCCTCTGTGTGTGTAATGATCCTCACACACAGACATGTGTACATATGCGCCTGATTACGTGTATATGTTGCAGTGCCCAGACAGGACAGCATGAGCCCTGTAAGGGCGAATGCTGTCCTGTCAGGGTACTAGCTGCAACTGCTGTCTGGGTACTGCAACAGATTTGTTGGATATCCCTAGGCAAACGACATGTATGAACCCTGCTTGCACAATGTAGGATTGTATATGTAGGCTGATACAATCCCCCAGTACCTAGCTTCATACATGTCGGTTGCCTAGGGATATCCAACAAATAACCATACTAGCAGTGCATTTCTTGTGGCCATGAAATGCACTGCCTGTCAGTGCCTGATGTAATAACACATAATAACAATGTGAGGGAACGTGTCAGTGGTTGCATCACGGTTCTTTGTCTTCACTTCTTTTAGCTTCATACGTATGTAGCTAAACACACACGACAAAAGAATCTTGAAATTTCTGGTACACATGTGTATAGGCGTGTGTGCTGGACTGTGGGCAGAGTCTCACACACATGCTGCGATTAAACCAACGACACACGATCTCTTTGATGTGTGTGCATAATTCCCAGTGGTACCATTTGGTCACTCATCACAATCTACTGTAATCAGGTCATACCAACTTCTAACACAGTTTTGACAAGTCTCTTTAACATACTGTATAGCAAGCATACTGTACCATACATTGTACTACGTACATTGTATAATACGACAAATATTTGGAGATAATTATAGTGTCAATGTACAGCACATCTTTTGTCAAGGGAGAGCGAGGGTGAAAGTCCCAAGGGAGAGGTAGAAATGTCAGATCAGTAAGTGGGGGTCACATGGCTCTCTACACATTGTACTTGCAAGAACACTATTGTATTGTACAACCGACGATCGTAGGGTACATTATAATAATATGGTCGACCGTCAGGGAACTATGCAAGGAATGTGCCATAATTGAATGAAATAGTGGGGGTCACATACATATGTGTAGCTCTCTACACACACTTGCAAGTATTATTGCACAGCCGACGATCGTAGGGTACATTGTCGACCGTCAGCGAACTATGCAAGGCACGTGCTATAATTGTTATGACTGGAATGTTAGTTTTAAAATAATGAATATCTGTCTCTCTGGTAAGGGTTTCATTCCAGTCTCTCGGTACATACAGAGGCATATTAGTTTTTACATGTGAGGAATTTTGAAACGAGGAGTTAAACACTAAACCATGTCACAGACACACAGTAATTATGTGTCCAGAGCTTCCAATATGTCCACAAGGATCTAACTTTATACATGATTTTCTAACCCTTAGCCAGCCACGGGCATATATATGTAATAGTTAATGTACGGAAGTCAGTGCTGTACACGTAATAATGGTACGAGGGGCGTGGTCGAGATAGTCATACAGCACGAGGCGCAGCCGAGTTGCTGTATGATCTATCGAGACCAAGTTCCGAGTACCATTATCACGCGCACAGCACGTGCTTCCGTACATTAAGTAATTTATTGTATGCGTGGGCGATTCAAAAGGCGGCGACCAGGAAAACCGCCGCTCAGAACGGAAGAGAGGACGAGAAGCTCGCGGAGCGCCCTTCCAGCAGCGGTTTGTGTTACCGTCTGAGTCGAACTCCGTCTACGAAAGGCCGCCGAGGGCGTCATTCCCTCAAAGCGTACGCTAGTCCGCGGATATAGTTCAAAAGGCGGCGGCCAGGAAAATCTTTTTTTGCAAGTTCAGAAGGACTAGAAGCTCGCGGAGCGCCCTTCCAGCAGCGGTTTGTGTCACCGTCTGAGTCGACCTCCGTCTACGAAAGGCCGCCGAGGGCGTCATTCCCGCAAAGCGTACGCTAGTCCGCGGATATAGTATAGTTCGTGTGATATAGTACAGTTCCGCGCGATATAGTACAGTTCATTCAAAAACCGTTCTGTATGATGAATATAGTACTGGCGGCGCCTTTGATTCGCCCACGCAAAATATATATATGTGCCCAAAGCCTCCATAACTCCATAAGAATTTATATAGGGCTATAATACTAGCATTAATACATCAATTTCTGCTTATTGAAAGAGATACCCATGGCACCCAAAGGGTTAAGGAGATATCTGCGGCCTCAAAAGGGTTAAATTCTCAGGCGATAATGGTTTTTGGTGGTGTTTGTGAAATGCACCTACCGTCGCACGTTGATGGGTTCATGATTTGCCAAGGACAAACAATTACGCTGTTTGTCAACACGAAAATCACACAAACTCGGCCTCTGCAATATGCTCAGTGTTACAAAAGCTTGCCATTAGCCATCACTCCTGAGAGGGTCAGGGAGGGGGGTGACTTTACATTTGGACTACACCCAAAGAGCATGCAAGATTACGTCACTGCATTAAATCATCGCCCTGGCATGGCAGTTCCACTGAGCATGCGCAGTAGCCAAGGCAACCATGGTTGCTAGACAGCGAAACAAGGCAGATGTCACCCTCACCACACGCTGCCCACATTGTAATTTAATTAGACATTTGGGTGGGGCACAACAGGAGACAGTACACACTTTCCCTAGGGTGGGGTGTGTTAGGGTGTGGGTGTATTAGGGTGTGTGTTAGGGGGTTGTGTGTTAGGGTGTGGGTGTATTAGGGTGTGTGTGCTAGGGTGTGTATTAGGGTGTGTGTTAGGGTGTGTGTGCTAGGGTGTGTATTAGGGTGTGTGTTAGGGTGTGTATTATGGTGTGTGTGCTAGGGTGTGTGTTAGGGTGTGTATTAGGGTGTGTGTTAGGGTGTTTGTACCAATATTCATATAGTGTGGATCCCAAGCCAGCCATAAGCCTGTGTTAAAACCCAATTTTCTCAGTTGTGACTTTAATAGTGCATTATACATGCAAACCTTATGCACAAACGCAAACAAAAACAACATGGAGGGAGGTTGGCAAAGGAACACATGCATAACATACACACACGTCAAAGCGAGCGAGAGAGAGAGAGAGAGAGAGAGAGGGGGAGGGAAGAGGGTAGTGGAAGGTTAATGTTGATGTTCGCTCTAATGCGGATGAAGGGTTGGATGGAGGAGAGAGATACAAGATATTCATAACAAGAAAACAGAGTCCCTATATCCGCATGTCCCCTCATGAACTGTACATGCTGGCGTCTAAAATGGAGCTAATACACATTGCATAGCGTTTGTACAATCGTGACCGCAGAACTGCATGTCAAATTGCATTCCCTGACATCATTTGCTTGCCATCTGAAGAAAGCCATTGTTTTCCCACAAAACCAACTGCGATAAAGTGTACGAACAGTCTTATACACGCATATTATATACATAAATGTAGTAGGCGTGGAGCAGTATATTATGTATACCATGAACTATGTACACATTATTGAAAACTCATGTAGCTAACTTTCAATTCCCTTTAAATCCTAACATCTGATGCAAAAGTCTTGTGATAATGTATTCATAGGTCGTTGACTGGGGGCTCAGGTCTAACACTAGTCACCGACCAAAATTGATATAAGCCAAACATTTCAGTAGCACCAGGCTACCGATCTACATTATAATACAACTATAGAATTCATAATGACTGGATTTGTCGAGTTGAGGCTATGTTAGTATCAATATACCATACATTTGGTTGGCTAACACATATAACAACAGTATCAGTGGGTGACCAGCAGTTCATGTGTGTATACACTGCAAGCATAAGCGGTATTGAATAGCAATGAAGTAGGGTAGTAAATATCACCAATGGGATGGTCAGCCACTATTGTAGGGGTAGCATGGTTGGCACAACATTGAAATCAATGGCAGACATTTAGACATGTCCAAGCGTAAGTTGACTCCCTGTAGCCTCCCTCCTTCCTCTCCCATCTCTCTTTTTCCTCTGCCAATCCTTCTCTCTCCACTCTGCTACCTCCCTCTCTTCCTTGTTCTCTTTCTTCTCCCTCTCTCTCCCTCATCTTCCTCCTCTCTTGCTCTTCCTTCCCTTCCTTCCTCCCTCTCCCCTCCCCCCAATCTTCTCCCCTCTATTGGGTCAATGGGAGAGGTTTGCCCACAACACAACCTGTCATCACAACGACCATTCACCACACGCTCACTCCAATAGACGACAGACGTCAAAACACGCCATGTGGGACGGACAGAGTCACCGGGAGTGACCCAAATCAGCTGGCATTTGTTTCTCTCTTGAACACCAGCCACGCTCCGTTCGGCTGCGTTTTTATCCCCCAATTTGGTCAATACGTGGCCTCGACGCACGATCCATTGACTAGGCAAATCATCTGCCAAGTGGGCACTCTAACAAGATAAACAACGGCCTCGCGCACAACCCATCCGCAGTACACAACCCCATTATGTCCTGGTCAAATGTACAGTGAGGGACATATGTACAATTATTCTGCCCCCAGTTTTTAGAGCACTACAAGTCTTGCTGCCCTGTCAGCTTACTACTACTGTATATACACTTCACAGCTCAGCTCTGCAATTGAGTTTCCCCACACATGGAGCCAAGACACAATAATATGGTAAAGAGGCCGCCCTTCCACAGACGGACATGTAAACATGTACATGTATGCACTGTTGTTCCTCAGCCGTACACACAAGTGCAGGTGCTGTGGACCTGTACGTACCCAAGAAACAGAGTCAAAAGCAAGCTTCCTACAAAAACCCAGCAATGCAGGTCTGTGAATTGGGTTAACCTCTTTGAACTGTTTGATGCTTGAAAAGGTGTACATACACGTGCATAATGATACACACAGACACACAGAGGACACGTGTGGCAGTGTTTAGAGGTGAAGTGTGGTGGTGCTTAGGTCCCATGGGAGCAGCGGGCATTTCTATTGCTCTCTCTTTGTCTATACCACACAGGCCATTGTATATAGCAAGTACCCACCGATTTCTACAGGCCACATAGTCACACTTTACCTCAAGCCCTCGACCTATGAATCCATCAGTAATTTTACGACACTTCACAGGCAAAAACCTAGAAGAGCTCCAAGAAGCTGCGGCTAGTGTTACAACACTGCAAAACGCTACAAAGTCTAGGTAAACTTGCGGACTGCCTATGGGTAGTAAATTTGAAGTTTAGTTAGTAGGAGACACTGGTGCACATATGTAACATGTACATACAGATGCTGCACTAGAAGAAGCAGCCTATAGGAGTGCCGGCTCCAGCAACAAGCCAGGGAAATTCTCACTGAAAAGTCAACTTTCACGCATTAGACAGAAGTCTACACCAAAAGTATGGCCAGCACAGCCACAGTATGAGTAGTCTGCGTAGTATTATACGGACAATTCGAAGATATCCTCCCTGCATACACAGTGTGGTAAGCCTTGTACACACACATCAATAGATGGCTCTTTAGACCACTCAGTGTAGAGCTACAAACAGAGACGGTTCTTCCTTTAGAGCCTGTCCTGTTCCCTGTACAACGCTAACGTAGAATATGTAGCGAAACAAGACTTGCTACACAGTTCACAGGATCTAAGAATTCAGAGTACAAGGGGTACGGTTAGAGAAAAAGCGAAGAAGGATGTCTATGGCCTAGCGAAACACGATACCATGTCGTGTGCTTGGGAAGCGTTCATCACGGTTAGTTACCTACATAAGAGTTCTGACCAACTACTCCCGTTCCTCCCTACAAATACTCACGTTCACTATAGTACATAAACACACAAAACGACGACTTTCCACAGTCGTCGATAGACTGTGAGCATTCCGCTCTGGGAAGCGTCCCGTAAGAAACGACAGAGCCTCGCACGATGACTGCACCAGGTTGCTAGTCTCTCGCTCACCTCTGTCCCACAGATGCCGTGTCCGCAGCGTGGCTCGCCTCACTCCGGTCTACAAACTCGTTCGCCTCTCCAGTCGTCGTCGGAAATGCGCAAATGGAAGAAGGCGCGGTTTTTTTGTGTTACAGTGGTCACGTGCGAAAATAGTGACGATTATTGACGTAAAAGGTAAACAAATATCTCAGTTTTTTCTCTTGTAGATTCTGTTGGCAAACTCCACAAACATCCCCTGTGGTAGACTGCCAGCCTCGGTCTCTATAGAAACCATCAGGTCTTTGTAGCTCTGTTCCTCGTAATCCTTGTACACCTGTGAACATGGCAACCAACCATAGGGAAGATCATAGCTATTGGGTAGGGGTACAAATGATTGGGATTTACCTGCTCCAAATTGAGCTCTTTGTAGAGGGCTTTGACCTTCTGGACACAGGCAGGGTCGCGACGTGCGTAGTTCTCCTGAATGACAGTGAGAGTGAGAGAGAGAGAGAGAGAGAGAGAGAGAGAGATTAATTCGTGAGCAAAGTGAGCCCACCTAGTCATCTGAATGTGGGATTTTTCTATTATTACATCAATTGACACTGCACGTACTATAATGTTGATTCTAAATGTACATGCAACCGTTCACGCATTCCTCTAGTAACAGTACGTAACGGTATAAATAATATGTATACATACAGTCAAAGTTTCCAAGGGGTTATATATACACTTACCTCTAGAATGCTCCTCTGTTGAGGGGTGGCTAACTGGAGGGCCTGTATGACCAGCCAAGAACACTTGTTCTCCTCTATGTCAGTTCCGATCTTTCCAGTCACTACTGGGTCGCCGTAGCAGTCTATGTAGTCGTCCTGAACATGGGAGAGAGGGAGGGAGGGAGGGAAGGAGGGAGGGAGCGAGGGAGGGACGGAGAGAGGGCAGGGAGAGGAGTGGAGTTTGGGCGAGGGGAAGTAACAGCACGAGAATCAACGGCCAATCAAGCATAGCGGGAAACATGTCGTGAGTGTCACGTGATACGTACTAGGCTTCCGTGTTATCTCTTTTCATTGGGTTAATTTGTAACTTGTTACGAGTGTTTGGATTTGTCTTTTCCCCCGACAACATGGCAGATAACTATGTGATGCTGCTAGGGGAGGATCTTGGTTCATTGTCTATATATAGCTAATACGCTGGCTAGACCAGGAGCTCCACCATTTGCTTTTTTCTGCGATTAGGACTAATTTTGAAGGCCAGAAAATAATACTTAACTCCTTGAAGTAAATAATACTACACAATAATGCTGCCACATCATAATTATGGAATATTGAGCATGCTTATTCACATGGAGTGGAAGTATTTGTGTTTCACCCATTTATCACCATTATTCCAGTATAATATAGTTATTTGTAGGCTTGATATGTTCTCTGAATTTTGAGAACAAAAATCAAAAATGTCCAGGGGAAGGGTCCCGGTGGATGCATGTATTAATCCAAGAAATGGAAACCTAATGGAACACCCCCATGTTTATCATCCCAAAAGCTTGACGTGTAGATGAAACCAACCCCCTTGACACTGGTGATACAGTGGAATATCCAAATAATGGACACATTGGTACAGGCATTTCATCTTTTATAGGGAGGTTGTCATCTCTTTGGAGGTTAAAGGGAAAGTTTCAGTATTATAAGAGTTAAATTTAGATATGTTACTAAAGATAGAACAAAACAATGGGGGTGCAGTGAAAGAATGCAATTGAGTTCTCTGTTTTAGTACATTTGTCTAAAGGTTAGCCCTTATCTAATCTCTACTGAAATGTGGGACCTCAAAGTGCGTCCTTTATTGAGAGAGATTGTTCCCCTATTGTGTCCCTTATTCAGAGTGTCCATTAATCAGAGGTTCTACTGAGGGGAGCTGACCTGTATCTGGAAGTACTCTCCCATCTGCAGGAGAATCTTCTTGGCCGACTCGTGAGCTTTCTCGCCTGTGATTCCGTGCTGCAATCAACATACGGCGGACGGACACACAGGAGGGGGGACACAAATCCTCTAAACTATTGGGAATTCGATATTATAAAAAAACAACCACACATTAACGAAAAATATGAGTGCCCGCAGACGTCTCTCTCTGGTTTTGTCTCCTCTTCTGATACATCAACACCTCGAAATATGAGGGCCACACAGCAACACAAAAACGTCTAGTCTGATTTATTCAGAAATGCCCCTTTATTCAGCAATAAACTTGAATGTGTGTTCTTCATGTGTTCAAAGTGCCCTTTATTCAGTGTGTAAGACAGAGGATCCACTGTACTGCGTAGTAACGATGTCATGGAATATCTCACCATGTACATGGCCAGTGCTACCGGAAGGTAGAACGAGTAGAAAGCAGTCTTGTACTTTACAATCGCTCGATACCTAATGCAAAATACACACACACTATAATTATACAGAGTTGTTCAGTGGTGCCAAAATGCACTGTGGATGCAAATGCAAAAAAACACAGCCCACACTTTTACTTC